CGCGGGGGGGGGGGGGAACCTTGCATTTATTCACCATTTCAACGTGTTGAGAAATTGTAATGTGTTGAATGCAACTTATACTCACGAGCAGTGCAATACTGCCCTCTAGAGGATCCTGCACAGAAAGTCATTTTGCAGTATTGGTCAGATGATCATGTTGTCATTGTCAAATCTTTAATTACATTTCTAAATTCAGTATGCGGGTGAGCATCTTGATCTCAGGGGAAAAAAAGCTTACACGGTCTAAAGAAAATTGGTCAACGTGTCGTCTTGGACTGCTTATTTGAACTTAAATACATAGTGAAGATGCTTGGGGATTAAGGGAAATCATAGAGTATGAACATGGTAAATTCCGGTCCAATTTAGGCCAGACAGTGCCAGCCGCACATCAAACCCTGATTGTTGAACACTCGTGTCCGAATAGTGAACGAATCTTTCTTTCGGATGTTTTTAGTGAATCAGTTCACAAAACCGATCTGACTCAGTTGCTCCATACGGTTCTCGAGTCAAAAACTCAACTGACTTATTCAACCGATTCGTCTGTTTGTCAGATTCGAGTGAGCTGTAGGAGTGATGCTGAGATTTGACTGACAGGACAAAAGGTAAATTAATTTAATAGGCGAACAGAAAACGTAGGACTACTAATAAATGTGATTGTATAACACTTATCAACGCAATAAAACAGAGAAATGTCAAATTAATTTTCAGAACTTTTAATTAGGCAATTTTTTTGTATCCTAATGTACGCTCTAAATGCATTATATCTTTATCATATTATATATAGATTATATTTTGTTTCTAAGTGACTTTGTGTTTATGAGCTGAAGTGAACAGGGACACATTCCAATAATCACTCAACTTTGACGGGAAACTTAAACAGCAAAAGGTGCTGCTCGTGATGGCGCAATAACGTCTTGACGGAAAAGAATCACTGTTGTTTTTGAACCGAGCTGTTCGAAAGAACCGATTCGATAAAATGACTCGGACTACACACTTGTTGCATGTGTGAAACAGTTGCAGCAAACTCCTCCCATGGACCGCCCACAGCGGGCGCTTCACAGCGGAGCATCTTGATTTCTTGTCTCACCCGATGAATACTTGACAAACAGGGCTTGAGTGTTGAAGTTTTGTTTTTAAGAGTAGCCTATGTGTTGTTATGGTAGCGTTTGTCGAAGTTGCACTGAGCGTTTAAATGTGTGAAAACGGACGCGGAAATTACAATGTGCCCAAACTAATTCTCAGTTAGGACTGAGAAGAACAAGCTGGTAAGTGAAACATTTACTCAGTAGCCGCTAGATTTGTAGATCCTGGAGGTCCCTGAAGATACTCCAGAGAATCTGTAGAGAGGATAAATGAAACGTGTAGAACTTAATGACTTTTGAACCAGTAATTTCTAACTTTGTAACTAATGAATATAATGTAGCAATACTGTTCTTAATGAATGTTATTAATGTAGTGCTACAGAGAAAAGCTAATTTTTATAGTTGCAGAACCCAGCTGTAGATGATTCCACGACATAACTGGGATGTTTCATTGGCTGCGCTTAAAAAAAAAATTGTGAGCTACCTACCTAGACAACGTTTTTGGGCATTAATTTATAGGTACCTTCGGGGAAACAATTTTTGCATTTTACTTAATGGAAAAAATGATATTTTGAAAAATGTCTCATTGTTCATACAATGAAAGTCAGTGGGGACCAGTTTTATTTTGGACGCCAAATACTTTCAGTGTATTTGCAAAAAATATCTTCTTCAAAATATCTTCTTTTATGTTCCACAGAAAAAAGTCATACAGGTCTGGAATGATATGTGGGTTAATATGGCAGAATTTTCACTTTTGGGTGACTTATTCACTTATTACTGAAGCATAAAAATAACCTAATATGTTCGCCAATATTTAGGAAACATGCTGAGGTCACATACTTGTTTCTAAGAAAAACAATCACAGCTAGTTATTCTTTGAAATGCATTCCGTGTCAGCATGTCTGTTTTTGTTTTGGTCTGTGTGATTCCGCCCACTGCCAGTTTACCCAATAGTATTTTGACACCCCGGGTTGCCAGCTCACTGAAAACACAATGTATTGCAGCCATGGAAGCCAGCAAATGGACTAATTCAGAGATCTAAGATTCTACCCGACCTAAAAATCCTCGGCAGGCATATAAAAAGCTCTATGGCCAGAGGCGTATTAAAACAACTTACATCAATTTTCAGTGTAAAGGCTTGTACACACACACCGGGACGAATATTGCGTGCGATTGTCGCCGACGTTTAACGCCTCGTGACTAAACAAAGGGCGCCAATGTGAGTGTGCACACCGGTGTGCAAAACGCCAGGCGTAAACGCGTCATTTTTTAAAAACGCCTCGGGCTAGTTTTTTTGGTTTGACGCGCCGTGTTAAAAACTGGCCGACCAATGAGATTGGCGCTTTTGTTCACGTGCCTGGAGCTGCTGAAGTTAGAGTAAAACACGACTTGGTGGCGCTCAAGCACAAAACGGTCTTGCCGAGCACACATTGATACCTAACGACGAAGAGGAAGTAAGTAGACGAAGAAGAAGCATCGAGGCAAGATGAACGTAGAGCTGCTGGTCTCATTGGTCTCTGAACACAAAGAGCTTTATGACAAACGTGATAGCGACTACAAAAAATCTCGATAAGAGGAAGTTGTTATGGAGAGGAATTGCAGATCAAATAGGATTCGATGTGTACCGGGGTATTTTTCATTAAGCGCCATCCAGTGATGCCAACTGCTTTCAATTGAAAGTAGCTAAAACTGGTTTTTTTCAGTTGATTCACTGATCTATATAAAGATGAATGTAGATCAGTGGGCAAGATGAGAACTTGGATAAGGTTTGTCCAAGAAGTTGCTATATTTGTCCCTAAACTTTTGAAAAAAGTCTCAAAAGGGTTTTTCATTAAGCGCCATCTAATGTCAGGGAGTGAATTTGCACGTTCACTCAGCTCATCGCCAGCGAAAATCGCTTGGGTATGAACACACAAGACATGTCGAAAAAACGCTGGCGACAAGTGCGTGCGATAATCGTCCCGGTGTGTACGAGGCTTAAGGCTCATCGCCTTCCCTTGTCAGTTGTGCTCATTCCTATTGCATGTCCTTAAAGGGTTAGTTCACCCCAAACGTTCATCTTCGGAACACAAATTAAGATATTTTTGATGAAATGTGAGAGCTCTCGCACCATGCATAGACAGCAACGCAACTGTAATGTTCCCAGGTCCAGAAGCGTAGTAAGGACATCAGTAAAACAGTCCATGTGACATCAGTGGCTCAACTTCAGTTTTGCGAAGCTACGAGAATACTTTTTGAGCGCAAAGAAAACAAAGATAACATTATTATTGAACAATTCTTCTCCCCCGAGTTACGTCTTCCGCCATTTTGGAGAGTACCCAAGAGCGTAATCGACGTAATCAGCGTTGTTTACGTTCAGGGGATAAAGTGTGCGCATGAACGTAATCTGCGTAATCAGCGTTGTTTACGCTTAGGGGATGCAGGGTCTGAGAGCTCTCACATTTCATCAAAAATATCTTAATTTTTGTTCCGAAGATGAACAAAGGTCTTACGGGTTTGGAACGACATGAGGGTTAGTAATTAATGACAGAATTTTTGGGTGAACTATCCCTTTAATCTGGCAACCCGCTTGAGCTTTGAGTCTGCCATTTGAGTCTGGACTTAACTGTTCTCAATAGAATTACAACAATTATTAAACTTTATGTTTATCCTAATTTGCATAAATGGTCTTTTATAACAAGACTTTAGAGGCCTGTTAACATCATGAACGATAATTATATTAGCATACACATGCTTTAAATGCACCAGATCTTTAAAGCTGGTGCATTTATAGTTATAGTTCTTGTTCTCAGTGTAAACGGGCCTTCCACAAGTTGACGTCGACTTTGAGAGTCAACTTAATGTACTTAAGCCAGGTCAGCAGCTGAACACGGATGATAAATGAGGCTGTTTACTCTCCTCGGGTCATGCGTTGAGATGCTGCAGCTTTAATTGCATTACCTAGCTGGTCTGAGTACTTGCTCATGTCTGTTATTTGAAGTTCACCAGTCAACCATCTCACCGGACAACCCAAGTCCTAATTCACTTGGTGAATAAATTAATATACCAGAACTGAAAGAATGAGATTATATTTAAGGAGCCGGGCAGAAACGTGATGTCTTAGTTAGTGTGATTTATGACCAGAGGCACCCCACAAGCTCAATTCATGCAAAATATGCATAGAGTGAATCAACTGCAGCGGGAGTCTGACTTGTTTTTGGCCTCCTAATTAGCAGATGGTGAGTATGGATGCATACAATTTTCATTCATGATTGCTGCGAATGTTAGACTGTGAATGAGCTCATTTTCTTGTAGCAAATGGAACAGATTCGGGGCGCCATCTGATATTGCCATCTTTTTGCTGGGTGGATAAAATACCAATTTAACCCATCATAGGCTTTATAAAGGCAGCCTATAATTGGAGACATTGTTTGCCCTCTAATGGCAACATAGTTGTCGTTGCTACAGTGTTTTTGTCAGTGTGGGAACTGATTGAACCTATTATTAGGCAGATGTGATAAATATGTAAGTTTACAGTTGGTATCAGATGTGTGTGGAATCAAGTTGTGATGCCATCAAGGGTGCAGCTTGTGAACGAGGCAGCTTGAGTCCGAATTCTGAGAAGCATTTGTGCAAAGGAAACTAAGATGAGCGCTGTTTGAACGTGTCAGTATCTGATACAGGCATCTGGTTAACTGCATCCTAACTGCCTTTTTGCGATTATCAGATACCTCTGTGCGTGAGTGGAGCGCAGCCATAGGTTCACCAGGAAGTCTCATGTCAGGCTGCACATGAAAGGAAGTATACTTATTTGTATCGTAGACGTTCTGTGTGGCTTTCAATATGACACAGGCATCGATATAAATGAGTCACTGCAGCTGAACCATGTAAACAACTGCCTTTTGCGGTTGTCTCATGCATTCTTTGCGTCACCCTTTCGGTGTACCCTGTGGGAGGTTTTGCCTATAACGTGACTTTTCATCTCTGACATTTGTTCTAGCACGTGCCTGTCCTCATCTCAACTAAACCATGGGGTCATTCCGAAAGCCCAGACCCCGTTTCATGAGCTCGCCCGTACTGTCCGACCTCGCCCGTTTTCATGCCAGCTCGCCAACACTGCAGCTGTCCAACGCCAGTGTTTGGAACAGGTGGGTGGTTCCCTTTCCCAAAGATGAGAGAGAGAAAAGGCATTGTTTCATTAATTGCCATGAGATTTGAGGGGGTTTTATAGACACAACAGAGATTTTTTTTAAAGGTAAAGTTCGTTCAAAGATGACTAATCTGTCATTACTTAATCATAAAATTAGAAAAAAAACAATTTTTATTATATTTTCCAAAGTCAGTTTTGTTTATACGTACAGTACTGTGCAAAAGTCTTAGGCCATTAGTATTTTCACCAACAAAAAATGGTTTTAAGCCTGTTATTTTTATATCTTTTGCTGTAGTGTGTCTGTAGGAAATATCAGGTTACATTTCCAAACATTCCTTTTGCCATTAATTGTAATAATTCAGTGAGATTTTTGTGTGCACAAGGAGTCTGAAAACAGCCAGTGCTCCACACAGAGATCTGATTTCACCATCATCCAGTCTGTGTGGGATTACATGAAGAAACAGAAAAAACTGAGGCAGACTAAATCCAAATATCTCCAAGATGCTTGAAGAAACCTTCCTACAAAGCTACAGTACTGTTAAAATTTTAGGCACTTGTGTAAAAATGCTGTAAAGTGAGGATGCTTTCAAAAATAATGTCATAAATAGATTTTATTTATCAATTAACTTCAATTAACTAAATCAAATCAACATTTGGTGCGACCACCCTTTTTGTTTAAAACAGCTTTTGTCCTAGGTACGGTTGTGCATAGTTTTTCAGGTAGCTTTGCAGGTAGGTCATTTGAAGTGTCTTGGAGACGTTGCCACAGTTCTTCTGGATTTAGTCTGTCTGGGTTTTTTCTGTTTCTTCATGTAATCTCAGACGGACTGAATGATGGTGAGATCAGATCTGTGTGGAGCACTGGCTGTTGTCAGACTCCTTGTGCAAACAAAAATCTCACTGGATTATTACAATTAATGGCAGAAGGAATGTTTGGAAATGTAAACTGTGTTATTTCCTACTGACACACTACAGCAAAAGATATAAACCATTTTTTGTTGGTGAAAATACTAATGGCCTAAGACTTTTGCACAGTACCGTATATCATGATGTAATAATTCATAAATATTAATTATTTTGGGGAGTTGCACCACATGACATTTTGCAACCTGAACTAAGCTTATCTTGTTGTAAAAAACATGTGGCAAGTTCATGTCAGTTTGAAAAACTTTTATACTATTTTCAAGAAAAAATTATATTTGACTTTAAAAATGTCATGTGGTGTAATCATCAAGTAAAAAGTCATAACATTTTCCTTACACCTTGAATACATGTGTACACATCATTATTTTCCAAAAGATGTTTTTTAAATATAATTTGTAACCATCAAGTAAAAGTAATAACATATTTTCATTAAATACATGTAAATATACACATCTTAATCATTATTTTCAAAAAGTTTCAAGGAAAAATTTATTTTTAAACAAATATCATGCATTATTAATTCATAAATATTATTACACTTTTGGGTAGTCACACCATATGACATTTTACAACATGAATTAACTTTATCTTATCATAAAAAGTTCAAAAAATTTAAATATTTTAAGAGACTCAATGACAAGTTTCCTTTTTGGAACTTTGATTTGGTGGGCAAAAGTTTCTAAAATAGTAATAAATAGTGTAGCCATTTTGTTAAAATATTTATTTGTAAGAAATAATAATATAAAAAAAGATTATGCCAAACTAGTTTTCTTTTCGATTTTATTCTTTAATGAGAAATTTATTTTTTGTCTTTTCTTTTTTCATTATGATATCAGGACAGTAGTTTGTATATTTTGACTGAATGCCTCCAAAAAAAAAAAAAAAACCATCAAAATGAGTTTTAATTCAGAAATTAAAAACATTCTCACGTATAGAGGTGACTGTAGAAGTCATTGTAGAAATGCATGAAATGTATTTGCATTGTTTTTGTTTATTTGTATGTTTGTTTGTTTTTGAATAAATTCAAAGTCAAAAGAGTGATGTTTACAGTCACTGTACCTCTGACTCAAAAGTGAAACCTTGCTTTTTCATATATGATTTCACACTTTGCTTGCTATATTTAGTCTTCAGGGAAAACCCCCTTAGAGACACGCATTATTAAGCATTAGAGAAGAAAGCAGACAGCAGCCTTTGCCTTTACTACTTCCTTATGGAAATGGGACCTCTGCTGCCTCTCTCTCAGGAAGTGTAGAGCAGGATGTTAGTCAGAAGTGGTCGGTTGGTCGACGGGCAATGAAAGTTTACTGGCAAGTGGACAAAAATGCTGACTATAGACATTAAAACAGAGAATTTCCCTTACGCAGGTGATGTTGCTGGATTTTGACATGTTTTTGCAAAGTCTTTATGCATATAAAGGGATGTTTTGCATAGAATTTTCTTAGATTGCAAATCAGCGGTCAGGCCACTAGTTTACAGATTTCTCCCCAAACTGAGTCTTTTCTGTTTTACAGTGTTCAAACGGCTGTAATTAAAGTCTTCCAAGGTGGTGGGCTACAAGCCAATGAGCTCTATAACCTGAATGAAAGCATAAGGTAAGAAAGTAATAAAGAGATCCGCAGCCATGTACTCGATTCACTTCCTATACACTGATCTCAATTTAAGATTAGAGATTTTTGACTCAGGCCAGTAGGCAATGACCCAGAATACACTAACAACCACATAGCAACACCTAGCTTTGTGGTGGTGAGTTTTGTACAGGCAGGCAACAAGATTTTTACTTTTTTTTTTCTTTTTCTTTTTTTTATGAAAAAGTAAAAAGTTCTTGTTTATGAGGGTGGGTGTGACTAACTGAGCTTTTAACTGTTTTATCAGATGGCTTTTGAGGACTGAACTGGGATCATTTATCACTGAGTACTTTCAGGTAAAATGTCTTTTCAATCCTGAATACATAATGAAGAGATTTACAAAAAAATTGTTGAATTTATTATGAAATTATTCTAATTAGAAATTAAAAAACCTAAATATTCCAGCTTCAACCCAGCTAACAAAAATATATTTTAAGAATGTTTTGCTAACATACCCAGTAAGTTCAGAAAACTGTATTTCTGATGTTCTTTGAACATTCAAAATGTCCAGTTTTTTAAATGTTTTAAAAACGTTTTTTTTCTTTGTTATACAAACGTTAAGGGAACATTCCATTTTGTCATTTTGCAAACATTATGGAATTGTTAGTGTTGAATGTTCTCTGAACATTCTGAAACATGTATTAACTTTGAAAAAACGTTAGATGAACATCCAACTAAAACATTTCAGAAAAAAAAGAATGATGAATAAATTATATTTGTATAAAATGTTTTTGTGCTAACATTTTGAGAATGTTATTAAAGACCAGAGAACTTTAAATAACATTCTATTAATTATCACTGGAAGAACGTTTGTTCATAACTTTGAGTGAACCTTACCAGAACATTATCTGAGAACGCACCCTGTTAACTATTAAACTTGATTGACAGTGTTAGTGGAATAATGTTGATGTTCAATTATACCTCCTTTTTTCTCTCAAAAAAAAAAAATCAAGGTTACAGTGAGGCGCTTACAGTGGAAGTGAATGGGGCCAATTTTTGAAGTGTTTACAAGCAGAAATGTGACCCCGGACCACAAAACCAGTCATAAGGGTCAATTTTTCGAAATTGAGATTTATACATCATCTGAACGCTGAATAAATAAGCTGTCCATTGGTGTATGGTTTGTTAGGATAGGACCGAGATACAACTATTTGAAAATCTGGAAACTGAGGGTGCAAAAAAATCTAAATATTGAGAAAATCGCCTTTAAAGTTGTCCAAATGAAGTTCTTAGCAATGCATATTAATAATCAAAAATTAAGTTTACAGTAGGAAATTTACAAAATATCTTCATGGAACATGATCTTTACTTAATATCCTAATGATTTTTGGCATAAAAGAAAAATCAATCATTTTGACCCATACAATGTATTTTTGGCTATTGCTACAAATATACCCCAGCGACTTAAGACTGGTTTTGTGGTCCAGGGTCACAAATGCGAAGCTATTAATTTCATAAAAGCACAAACATGAATTCTTATGTTAAAATATGTATTATTTGAGCTGTAAATGTGTTTAAATAATCATTTTTACAGTTGTTTTAGGGTTTTATGGTTTATAGCAAAATGTTAGTAAGCATTTTTTTTTACACTATATCATGTACTATTGAAACAAGAAGTATTTACAAATTTACATTTACAAATTGACCCCATTCACTTTCATTCTAAGTGCTTCACTGTAAGAAAAAAGAGGGACAAGTGGAAATTATTTTTTGTGCTAATCAACATTACGCCACACATGCTGTCAAATGAGCTTAACTTGTAATTGACCTGGAATATTCCTTTAAGTACTTGCATCACTCATTTCATCCAGGATCAGCTCTTGAATAAGGGTCTGACGTATATTTTGGAGAAGATTCAGCTTCATAACGGTGAGTGCTGAACCCGTTTTATAGGTCTTATTGGTGCATTTCATGGCCTGCGTGAGCTCTAATAAGGTTTTATACAGACGTAATTCAATCGCTCCTTGCATTCTTGTCTCATTTCTCATGCCCAGATGAAAGTCGTCTTCAAGCGCTGTCTGAGATGTGGGTGAGGTTTTTCACAGACATCCTGCCAACTCTTCAAGCTATTTTCTACCCTGTGCAGGTATTAAAATTATCTCACCTACCATTCAAAGTAGTAGGTTGGCGTCGAGTTACCGACACTATGGTGATTGGTGTTTTTTGGCTGGGTTTAGGGTCAGGAGTTGACTGTGAGGCAAATGACTCTGCTAGGCTTCAGGAACATGGTTCTGTTAAAGCTTCCTGTGGAGAACATGTTTCAGGGCTCCTCATATCCTCCTCCAATCACACAGATGCTGCTGATCCTGCAGGTGAGCTCTCACTAGGTCATTTGTGCACTAATAATGTCCGATTTTATGATGCATCATGAACATTTCCACCACATCTGTAATTTTGTGATGGAAATTACATTTTAAACATTTTTCGTCCTGATAGTTGTATAACTAGCATTTTATTTGTCAAAAATGCTCAAATTAATTTGGTGGTTTGAACAGAAAGGATGCACAATAAGTCAATAAGCACAATAAGTCTCTCATATTTCATCTCACACGCTTCACTGACATTGTTGTCTTGTCTCCTTGGTAACCAAGTACAGTAACATTTGGAAAAAAAATAAATAAATAAAACGTTCAGGGGAAAAAAATATTGGTTGTTGTGGAAATGATGCTACATCTGAGACACAGTTAGTTTGTGAATAGATAAAAAGTGAACACATCCAGCAGGCAAAAGCTTTTTTTGTGTTATAAATATTTTTCATGCTATAAATATTGAATATAAATATTGTTTGTGTTTATTATATCTCTGTTCACATCCTGATAATTCTACAAATTTTATAATATTTTTATGGTTATTTTCATATTTTTAGATTGAAAATCTGGTCAGGGTAAATTATGAAAATTGTATACCAGAAAGTTTATATATAAAAAGATATATAGGCCTGACCTTCATATCTGTATTGTATTGTTAACTACAAGTAAAACTAATAATACAATAATAACAAATATAAATAATAAATGAAAAATTAAACTTATAAAACTTGAAAATGACAAATTTTGCCTTTTGCAAATAATTGATATAAAATAACTTGAAGTTGAAGTACTAAACTAACTAAAAAAATAAAACTTAAAAATTAAAGCTAAATAGAAATATTTTGGGAAAAAATAAAAATGACAAGCATGTAACAAAAATACTAAAAATCAAAATGAAAACTGAAAATATAAAAATAAAAGCTAAATTCAAAATCTAAAAAATACAATAATAGTGTATAAATGATACTAAAATAACACAAGAAAAAAATTGAAATCGATTTTAATAAAAATCAACTACTGAGACATAAATGTTATGCATACATATGCAAAATGGTTCATATGACGTTGCTAAAAAATAACATTATTTGGTGTATTTGGTGTATTGAAATGCGTTTATGCGGTTTAAGGTTCAAAAAACACATTTCCACATAAAAATTCCACATACTGTACATTATTTTTTCTCCTCTATGCCCTGCCTTTATGAAACGCGTAGATTTTTACAAAGCTCATCGGTCAGAAAAAGCGAGGTGTGCTGTGATTGGCCAGCTATCCAGCGCGTTGTGATTGGCCGAAT